ATGAAAAGCGGTTGTGTTGTACTTGGTGCTTTTACTGGCTGAGGGAAACAGCAGCTCTGGAGCCCAACTGCTCTGACTCTCCAGTGCATGCCACGGGAGGAAGGTTATTAGCCCTGGCTCATCTCCAAGCAATTATATTAAATACACAGTGAAACAAGTCCAGTTGCCCCTTCTGAGCTTGCCCTAAGCTGCTTGCAGAGAAGCACTATGCAGTGCCATCTGTGAATCTCCAAGGCTGGTTGCAAAGTCCCCAGATCATCAGCAGAGGGGAGTAAATGGAGGTTTTCTTCCTCTCTGCTCTAGGAATTTTTCCATATTCTTCAAGGGGGAGAACAGAGAAATTTTTAGACAGTGTTCATCACTGATGGAGAAATATCAGTTTAACAAGCATTGTTTTGAAATGTTGAACCAGACCACATGTAGTTATGAAGAACATCATCACGGACCTTCAAGCCTCACCTGTTTCAGTGGAGGGGTTTAGTCTGTGAATGTGCATGCCAAAATAATTTATTTGTCAATGGAGAAAAATATTTAGATGGTGAGAAGAACTACATATGGATCAAAACCACTGCATCACATGGTACTGCATCACATTCTGGAGCTGTAAATATAAATGCAAAAGATGCCACTCTTTCCCATGTATGTTTATACACAAAGGGCAAAATTCCCATTGAGTGCATTTACAGTGCGGGCTTTTCTGGCTATATTTAGACCATTAAACACTGGACTTCTGTCTTTCTTGTTTCAGAGACAAAGCTCTGCTGTTAGTAAGCTTAGCATTCTAACTTTCTACACCATTTTTTAAAATATTTGTTAGTAAATATAAATGTGTATACATGTGCATATATAAATGATGGAAACAGTCATTGTGGCCCAAGAAATGGGCTTCCTGATGGCCTCATTGGGAGCTGTACTGCTGCATATCTCAAATGCACATTGGGAGCCAGAGCCAGCAGTGCAGTATTTGCAGGGAAAGCTCCAAGGTGCCAAAGCAGTGGGACTGAAGCCTAGCAGCTGCTGGTGATGCAGAAGTGTCTGCCTAAAACTTATAAGCCATGGTTTGTGTTCTTCAAACAACCACATTCTCAAAATACGTAAAAACTCTAGCCTCAAAAGCAAGTGATATTCTCAAATCTATATTTCATATTCCTACTTTTCAGTTGTATGAAAATATCGAAGATGGTATGTTTTGGTGCCCATCAAAAAGCAGAGGTTTATTTCCCACATTCACTTTAAGAGTGTGAGGCAAAAATCTAGCTCCATTTTAGCTTTGCAAGTATGAGCTACTATCTTTATCTGACTACCTTTAGTTTCTCTCTTAGGACTTCTGAGTGTTTTTCATGTGCCAGGGCCACATAAAACAGTAAAGCTTGCTTAAATGTCAGCTTTGAAGGAACCTACTGTCTTCTATCCCAGTGCCTAAGCAGCTGCTTTAGGATATAGAAACTCTGCACCTTTTCTTACAATTTTTCCTTGCTTGGCTGCTCTAGCTAGAAAAATAAAAGTCCAAAATGGATAGTTTAACTGCAATGATCACTTGTTGTGTTGAAAGACTTGTAGTTCTCCTTTTCAAATATTTGGGAATGAAGTCATCCTTCTCACCTTTCTCCAGAACTTACCTGGAATGATTTCAAAAAATGATCAGTTCCCAGCTTTATTTCATTATTGGAGTAATCTTACCTGAACCTCTGATGTCTGGCTGTCGTTGCTTCTCTGTAAGTGACATGGAGAAGAACCCTACAAGGAGAGAACTTTCTCTGTGGCAGAACTAGTTCTTTACTATATGCTTGCCCAAGGAGCACTCATCATAAAGAATCATAGCATGACTGAGGTTGGCAGGGACCTCTGGAGGTCATTTGGTCCAACTCTGCAGCTCAAGCAGTGACACCCAGAGCAGGGTGTGCAGGCTCATGTCCAGGCAGCTTCGGGATTGTCAAGGAGGAGACTCCACAGCTTCTCTGGGCAACCTGTGCCAGCACCATACAAATGGCTCAAGAACTCCAAATAACAAGAAAAATACATGATTTCACACACGTGCCTGGGATACTGAACCCTCTGTCCTCTCTAAAAAAAGGTGCATATTTAAGCCTGCAATGAAAAAAATGTAATTCCAGTCCAATATTTGAATCTTCTAGGTGCACGTGTGTAGTGTTGTTCATCATGGGAAATCATTTGATTTTATATTTCCAAGGGGGAGACTTGATGTAACTATGAGACATGAAAATGTTAAGAGAATCAGTTCCAAATAAAATCGCTGTCCTACTGTAGCAGAATTTTCCTCAACAATTTCGATGTTAGGCTTGGATTTAGGAGTAATATATTCAGCAAAAAGTTATTTGTTGGTATAGGTTATTCTGAAATACTAAACTTCAGTTACACCGCTAGATGGTAGTCTTGCTTATTCTGTGTTCACCTTTTTTTCTAATCTGATCTGCAGAGAGAAAAGGCAGGATCACCGCATACTTTTGACTATCCCCATATAAGGAATAACCCTTAAGTAAAAAAGCTGGTATATAAAAGAAGATGGGAAGAAACCATTAGCTTCTCCTGAGAGAGCACTTAGAGGCACAGTCAATCTCAGCGTAAGTCTGTAAATCTGTGCTGTACAGAGGAAGGGTGGTTGCAGACAGATATTTGCCAGAGGAAACTCGTGTGGCCAGTCAGTCCTCACTGCAAAGTTGGATGGACTATTCCAAAATAAATGTGCAGTCGTGGATCAAACATAGAAACTGCAAGATGATGATGAAAATGTTTTGTTATGAAACAGTAATATAGAAAGGTCTCTTTACTTTCTGTTATGTTTACAAATGTTGTGTCAATAAATGGTTGTTATAGGTGTGGAGGTAGTAACTGCTCTGTATCAATTCCTTTATTAATTCCCAAAACTACAGGCGCTCTCCTTAAGTCTTCCTTTCTTTGGCTCCTTCTTTGAGACCTGACCTTAAATGCCTCCAGGGATGGAGAATCCACGATCTCCATAGGCAACCTGTTCCAGAGATGAAGAGGTGCAGAGGTAATAACTGCTCTATATCAATTCCTTAATTAATTCCCACAACTACTTGGAAAGTTAACACATCAGATTGCTCTAAAAGAAGGCATCTATATTTGATGAGACTGGCTGAGCCTATGCAGGCAGCATATCCACCTGGAAATGTTGCTGAGAGTCTGAGTGTATTGAGCAACTGTCCATTTAGGATGTATACAGAATTTGTTATTTAGTTTCCTCAACACTTCACTTTTATGACTCTGCTTACTACATTGCAAACCAAAGTACATTACATGGACCATGTAACTAAATGTTGATCATAATTTTAACCGCATAACAAAACCACAATGCAGTGCAGATACACTTCTCATCAAAGGAATGTGAGTATATGAGTATCTTGCCTGGCCGCTGCTGCAGGAGAACATATTAATAGAGTATTCAATAATAATCTTGGGCAACTCGATAGTTGTCTTGCATCTCTTGAACAGAGGAAGTGCAAATTCCAGGGAGAGTTCGGCTCCAATATGCCTTCAAAGTCTCTTTGCATGAAAGCTTTCCCTCCTGCTGGATGATGTGCTCTGTTGAAGAGGAAAGCACCCTGATTTGCAGACAGTGGAATCTGATGAGTCACCTTTGGGTGTCTCAGAACCTTGTCAGTCCTTCCTGAATTGAGCAGTGATACATTTCAATTGCAGATAATTAGAATTATTTGGAAGGTTTTCTTTGGATATTCACCATAGTTAAGGATAGTGAAGTAATGAATTAAAACATGAGTCTTAGCATATAGAAGTAATGTTCCTTTTATGCAAGCCTAGACTAAATCATGTCCCCATTTGATATAAATGTCAGTACTGCCAAGTACAAGAAGAATACATTTAGGAGTAATTATTAAATTCCAAGTAATTATTGAAGTATGATTTCCAAGCGCTTTGCTCTGAACTATCGCACCTTTATCTAACTGCTGCTTTTCCTTTTTCACTGCTGCAGTGCTTATAATTGCATGTTCTTCCCTGTTCTTTAGGCTGACAGATGTCAGTGTGGTCTTCTAAAAACATGAATATTTCAAATTAAAGATTCTATATTCCTATTCATCTTAATGGTCCATTAAATTGTAATTAGATCCTCAAAGCTCTGCTGTTACAAGGAGCATAGTTATAAACTCATGAAAGAAAATACCAAAGGCTCTGGGACACATGGGAAGAATCACCATCCCTTCTAGATAAATAGATTCACCATTAGAAACACTGCCATAAGTTTTGAAGCAGACTTGGGCACTCTAATAGGATCGCTGAGCGTGTTTTCATTTAAGAGAAAATCAGACTGGCCATTTTACTATTGTAATGGTTTTCTTTGGCCTCTTAGTGCACGTTTGGTTTCTCTGATAACAGCACTATATTGTAACACGGACTGCTTTGCATCTGCTGTTCCACAGCCTTCATGAGTTTATCAGGAGGTGCTGGAGTGAAAGATGTGCTCGTGGTTGCATGCTTTCCACTCAAACATTACTCCATGTTAAAATCTTTGCTTCAGCACTGAGCAGTTTCTTCCCCCTAACGTCAAAACCTTGACAGGACAACCCCCCCAAATAATTGCTAAGGTTTTAAACAGTTTCCCACCAGTGTACTCATTTAAGCCCCACTATTTGCTACTCGCTGCGGCGATGTGAATCCTACTGCTGCATCTCAAGATTTGCCCAGGGACTCACAGCCCTATCCTGTTATACTGCAAGCGTGTTTAGAGCAGGGAGGCTCAGGACTGGCCCTCCTGGCCATTCTCCGTGCTCGGAACGCAGCCCGCACCGCTCCTCCGTGGCCGGGAGCGCCTCGAGGCGTTCCCTTGCAGGTGGGAGCCTCGGGCACCCAACGTGGCGCCGCCGCCCCCAGCCCGAGCGCCTCCGGCGGCCGCCCCGCCCGCCCGGTCCCCTGCGGCCCGCGGCGCTGGGCGGCGGCCAGGGAGGAGGGAGAGGAGGGGCGGTGGCGGCCGGCGGCCGGAATCGTTTCCTGGGTAAGGCTGGGAAGCGTTTCCGGCAGGCTGGCTGCATCCCGCTGCGGGCTTCGAGCGCCCCGGGAGCGGAGCGGCGTCAGGTGCGTTCTCCCCGCGGCAGGGCTGGGATGGCTGGGTAGCGCAGCGTAGCGCGTCTCACGGGGTCGGAGGGGCTCCAGGTACGTGGCCGCCTGCGGTGCCGCGGCTCCGCTCTGCTCGGCGGAGCCCCACAAAAGGAGGGCCCTGCCGGCGGGCGCTGCTCGAGCTCCGCTGCCCGTGCGGGGCCGCATCCCTACCCGCAGGCGGTGTGCTGCAGCCCGCGGCTCTCTGCTGGCGGGGCGAGGGAGGAGCGGTAGCGCGGAGCTGCTGCTGTTCTTGCTGCGGCTGCTGGCGGCCCGGGCGGCAGCGCGGTGCCGGCGTTCCCTCCTGCATAGCTAGGGAGCTGCGGTGGATCTCGCTTTGTTGGATGTGGGAAGGTAAAACGACATGGGAAGTGGGTAAAGTGTCTGTAGAAGTAGCTAGTGTAGTTGTTATTATAAGTTACAGAATGTTAGACTGCGCTTTTTGCAAGTTCGGCTCCGGTTAAATAATATTTGAGGTTTGTATGCAGGATTGTGAATGGAAGTATATAAAGAAACAGTCCTCAGAACAAAATGTGGACCTGGTGTAATTCCTCTGAACTTCTTAGCTTAGGTCTCATGACAATAGTGAAGCTGCTTCCATTGCGGCCCGAGAGAGAATTTGGGCAGATGAAATAAAACGAGAAGTGTCGTGGTTTGTATTTGTACTTGCTTGCTTTGCCTGCTTGATCACTGTGCTTTAGGTTCTTGGCTGGGCTCCTGCTTGTTAGGGAGAATGGCTGCGATTCTGTGCTTTAAATGAAAACCAGGCTGCATTCATAGTGTAGGTTTGCTAGTAAGCATTGTGCAAGCTGCTGGTAGTTTTGTGGGGTGATGATGTCTGCAGCAAGTTGTGTGGGATGCCAGTATCTGCAGCAAGACAGGGCTTTGTGTGAGACCCTCTGAGTTATCCCAGAGCAGAGATACAGGCTGCTGACTGCAGGCTTGCTGTGTCCTCTGGCTTGCTGATGTGTGTCTCCAGTTCATTCTAGATCTGATATATGGCACCATTCTGCCATCTCATGCTGTAGCACTTTTGAAAAGCCTGAATGAGTTGACTGTCTTGTATCTCAGACTATTTTCTGCCAGCCTTAAGTAAGTTTAGTTGAAATGTGTGCAGACGTTTTGGCACTTAAAAGGAGAGACATCCTCCTGTGATGACCTTGTGACAAAATCTTGGCTGAGTAACTTCCTTGTGTAGAGCAGCCACATTAAGTGTGTGGGTATTTTGTTTTTTCCTTTGCAGCGATGAGTGTTTGATGGAGTATTTCTGGGTTCTCTTCTTGTTTTTCTGCTGTTTTAGAGAAATGAAGGTTCGGAGAGGACTCTTCAGGGGGAATGCAGGGATGCATACTGTGGAAACTTGGATTACTTCTTTTTCCTGTTTTTCCATTTTTGCAAATATGCCGGGGACCAGTGACCCAAAATGTTCATTTTTATTGGCTCCTGGGTGGATTCTACTGTCCTTTCTTATCAGGAGGGCAGTACTTTCCTTAGGAAATACTTAAGCAGTACTGCTGAGCATTGCAGCTGCAGGGAGTTGTGATTTGAGGGGCTGGTTAGGAGAGATTTGAGTACTAAAGAATGCCTGCTGTAAGGATTTCTTACTAGAGGCTGGGCAATGACTGAAACAAATCACAGTAGCTGGTAGGTGATGGTGAGTAATCAGTGGATGACATCTCAGCCAGATAAAAAAAATCCATACTGTTCAGAAGCTCTATATTAGGATGTGCAATTACACTTGGAATCCATGCTGAAAACACACAATGCTGTATTGTATTTGTACTGCACTGTATATAGATTTCCTGTGGGCAAAGATGAGATTTTGCCTTTGTCTGCTCTACTGTGAGTGGAACTTTGCAGCTGGGAGCAGCATAGCAGGAGGAGACTTGCTGGGTGTGTTAGCTCCTCTCAGGCCACACTGCTGCCATCCTACTGCTGTGGGCAGGTGAATGTGGTGGTGAAGGACTGGTGGGATAGGTGAGAGCTCTTAGGGGATGCTGGGTGCTTCAGGTGGGACAGGTGCAGAGGATGACTGGGGAGGAGAAGCAGCAGTGTTACCAGAGGAGGTGAGCAAAGCCAGGCCTTTTAGCCAAGCAAATGAGGCCTGAGAGAGGGGATATGATTCCAATCTGCAAATACAGCAGGGATATAAACACTAGAAGAGGAGAGGAGCTATTTAAACTAAAGAACAATGTTGGCATGGGAACAAATGGATGTAAACTGGCATGAATAAACTTAAGCAGGAATTGAGATGGTTACTTCCCTAAATGGAGTGAGGTTCTGGAATGACCTTCAAATGGGAGGAATGGAAGCAGGACCCCTGACTGCCTCTTAAAGATATATCGAGGAAGTTTGTCATGTGCTTGGCTGTGGTATTAAAGGAGAGACTTGGTGACTCAGGAAACCTTTTCTGTACGCCTGTGCTAACTGGATATACATTTTCTGTGCCAGTATTTCTTATTTTAAAAATCTGACATTCAGAAATGACATTAAAATAAAATGCTTGCTTTACGGATTGTATCACTGCTTAGAAAGCATTGCAGTATGCTTAGTGGATGCTTTCTGAAATATTTTTGCAAGTTTAGGCTTTTTTCCTCCAAAATGCTGTGTGTTGACTTAGAGTAGTATCTGATCAAGTCAAAAGTTTTTTACATCAAAACTGTGCAAAAAGAGACAATTCTTTAATCTATGTGTGACCTGTTTGAGCTTATCCTTCAGGTTAAAAAATAAACTTCAGGAAACATTTTTATTAGCTGAAGTAATTCACAGATTCTCAAAAACAGAAATTGAAAGGGGTGGCAGATCCAGATGGTGTGAACTGAGAGCAGTGCTCTAAACTATGCTGTGGTTAGAGGACTGAGATGAATGAAATGTGAAGTAACTTTGAAGATAGGTCTAGTGTATGTCATTGTGCATGGGATTTGTTTCACTTACTGTTTTGCAGAACAGCTGAGAGTTATCTTGAGTAGTGGTTGCAACAGTTCCACTTGTTCAGAAGCCTGTAGACCATTCTAAAAATATTGTGTGTGCAATACTAAGTACAACCAGCTGCAGATGCTATGCACTAGGTCCTATGACTCTCATAAGTACATGACAGCTTCTAGAAGATGTAACAAATATAAAAATGGAAGAGCAGCTGCAATGAACGTACCAAGGATTAGTCCAGTGCAATGGCCACACAGGGTGCGATGCTGCCACAGGGCGTCAGCTGGTCACACCTCTGAGCAACACCTCTGAGATGCCTCTGAGTGCTCCTGCATGCTCCCCTTCCCTTCCTGTGTGCTCTGACAGAAAGCGGCCTTGTGCCATTGCAGAGAAGGCCTCTTGCAGGTTGACTTATACTTTAGGCTGATTTGTGGCCCACTGAAATCAAACATGAAAATTCCCTGAGGAAGAGTGAAGATGGGTGCATTTATGCTTTTCTGACTTACATCCCTTGCAGAAGACCCTGGGACACGTATATCTATATCAGTTTTTCTCCTGGCTCCTCCAAACCCTCTTCCCAAGCATAAGGGTGCTTTTTGCTGTATAACATTCCAGTCTACCACCCCACCAAAAGCAGAGATCTTCTCACTGACCTCCTGCTGCCCCTCTGAGCTGCTCTGTGGGCTGATGGGCTCCATACCTCATGGGCAGCCACCCCAGCACTACTGGGCCTGTTATCCTGTCCTTGTCTTGGTATAGATCTAAACAGAACATTGCTATCCTCAGAGCTTTAAGAAGCAGGGGTTACCATTGAGAATGCTTTGTGTGGTGTCCTGCTTGAGTCACCCTTTTTAAAAAATATATGTTCTGCAGGGAAAAATAGGAACAGGATGACCTTAAGCAGAACCTCCTCTATATGTGCTCTCAGAGGCTCTGGTTCTTCTCAGCTGGGGATTGCTGGAGCTGGGTACACCCTCTGCTGTTCTCAGAATGTCTGGTGGCTTTCTATCCCAAATACTAATCTGATCTGTCTGCAGCCCCCCTGGGACCTTATTGCAGGCACCGTGACCTTTGGTCAGGTGTGCTGCATGTCTGTAGGCCTTCTTTGGGTTGTTTGAGATTTCCCTCATTCTCTTTGTTCTTGTCTGGGCTCCTTTGTTTGGAGACTTAGTTTTCAACAGTAGGTGAGCTTTGGTGTTATGTAGTTGCTTTGTTTTCTTAATGATTTGTAACATTTTATTAGCTTTCTGGATTGCTACCAAGGTAGTTTCCTGGATATGTCAATTTGTAACATTAAGATGTGCTGGTGTGTGATCATTTTGGAGTCCATTAGTTGTGTGAAATCATGGTTGTACCTTTCTCTTGTACATCTTTTGCCACTTATGTTTATTTGTTAGTTCACAGCTCAGTCTCGCAGGATTATCTGGAATTCCTCACATCCCCTCCTTGTTACCCAGATAGCTGTTCCATCAGCAGTGTCCTCAGCCCACTGCTCAGACTCCTTCCTGATCTCAGGTGAGTGTCACAGAGCTCAGGTCTGAGCACAGATGGCTGCAGAACTTCATGGTGACTCCTGCTCACTGCAGGAAGGGACTGGGTACCCTTATTCTTATCGTTTCCATTTTTCAGCCCTCTTATCTGTCCACACAGGACCTTTCCTCTTATCTCTCTCACCTAAGTTCCCTTAAGAAACCCCTCACCTTTTGGGGAGGGAAATTTGAAGTCCTTTTGGAAATCCATGTAGGTTGAAGCATATGGCTGCATCCTACCCGGGTTTGGCACCTTTGAAGAACTTCGATAGTTCCAGGCCTTGTGCATCTGTAGGCTGCTGCTGAGCATCGTGGTCCTCTGTGTGTTTAGAATGAAAAAATGAGGCTCAGTTTAGTTGAAGATCTAGGGTGGATCTCTAAGTTCTGTCTCCTACAGTTACGTGGATTTTCTTTTTTTAAACCGAAATGTGCTGAGCTTCTGTCTCCCCTGAAAATGTAGCATTTGTTTGAGTAAGTGTTCAGATTTTTCGTTTCTGCTGAAGAAACACTGCATCTTGTATAACG